GATTGTGTTCTTCTTCCTACTCTGCTATTCCACTTGATGAAATAAAGGCGTATTTGAAGAGTTATGTTTAAGTTTCGTCAGAGAATAAATCTGTCTCAGACAAAAATCATATCACCGGCTAATGGCCGTCTTCATGGCATAGAATCGAAGAATCATGACTTTCTCTTCTCTTCTCTAGCTTCTTAGCAATGTTCTGTCTTGTATGGTATTTGAACACACTTTGACAAATTTAGGGATGACCTACCTCTACACATTGTAGCAGACCTGCACGGTAATATATCGCAGGTCTTGAGGGTGTTCAAATATTGTGGGATACCACAAAAGGACTCGTTTCTTTTCCTGGGTGATTATGTAGATAGGGGAGTTCAGGTGAAGACTGACTTATGTTTTGATGCAAAACCTCCATGTAAAGTTTCTTTCAGGGTATTGAGGTGATAACGCTACTTTTTTGCCTGAAAATCCGCTACCCCTACCAGGTGGGATAATTTCTTCAGAGCGAGCATCTGAATTTCTTGAAACTCCAGGTCTACCTTCTACGAGGAAACCATGAAGATGCAAACACAACTCTTAACTATGGATTTTTTGATGAATGCATTAGCAGGTGGCCTTCTAATGGAAAGAATCCTACAGGAGGGGATAAGGTGCCTTTACACTCCAGGTTCTAGCGATATCCATTTAAATTGGCAAATTTAGATATGGCGCCATTTTCTAGAAGCGTTCAATTGCATGCCTGTTGCTGCAATCATTGCTGGGAAAATCTATTGCGCTCACGGCGGGATATCACCATTTATTAATAAACTAGAAGACATTAACCAAGTAAGGATAAAATCCAAAATAAAATGAGCTCAGAACGCCTAACTTGATTTCCTATTCAGATCAAACGCCCATCAGTAGTACCTGCATATGGTATTGGCTGCGATCTCTTATGGTCGGATCCATCTCCCCAAAAAGATGGTTGGGTACTTAGCCACAGAGGTTTGTTAACAAAGCAGGAGAAGAAAACTACTATACTTGATTACTTTCATTTTCGAATTGTTCAGGAATTTCATTCCTATTTGGTCCAAAAGCCGTGGAAGAATTTTGTCAGAAACACAATATTGACATTATACTAAGAGGACACCAAATTAATAATGAGGTAATTCGGTAGAAAAAAAAGAAAAAATCACAAGAAACACTTCCTCATGCGATAGATAGTTGCGTTTTTGATGACTTTCTTAGATTTTCCCTAATTACATGCGGAAGGACAATGTTGTCAAACAGTTCCACTTCATCGAAATAAGGTAGTAAATATGAAAAATGGGTGTCCCATTGTCTTGCGCACATGATTTAACTGCATACTGCGTCCATCTGGCGAGTAAAACTTTTGATTGATCGCAAGCAAGAGAGTTTCTTCTTCGTCAATCCCATGTCCGCCTCTTTTGGAATGTTTGTAGGTATGCAAGCAAACAAAATGCACAATCAAATCAAAATTGTGTAACAACATGAAAATTTTGCAGATGTACAAAAGCGGATATCGATTTTACTTTA